TCTGGGCCAGTAGACAATGCTCATTTTCTTCGACAAATGCCTTTTTAATTTGGACATCCTGTGGAGCAGAAATGCGATTATCTAGATTTCTGTTCAAATCGATGATTTGTTGATGACCTATCCTGTGACCAAGGACATTATACTGTACAGTAAAACATCCAGGAGGTCGTTGGTGCTTTGGCTTGGTTTGTGGTCGCTTGTGTCCAGCTAACTATAGAAGGGAGGCTCCAGATTTAGTAGCTTTATCCATCTGGCCAAGCAGCAACACTGGATTTTGTCATAATTTTTACCTAGGAAGTTGCTTTTAAAGCTTGCCCTAACCTTAACCATAATCTTATTTTCATCAGAGGCTTAAAGCCTAAACCTAGCTTTAAATAGAGTGGAAAAATAAAAGTTTTATGAATGCATGCCGTTCAAAGATGTTTTGTTTTGTTTTTGGTTTGGCACGCCAAAATGAAAAGGACGAGGAGAAGAAGATAAACTACTGGCCTGGGCTACCTTCCATTGTAATGCACACAAAATATAACAAAATAAAAACGAAGGCTCAACTAGAAGAGTCTCAATTGACCAACAGGTCTCTCAACTAATGACTCACCTCTTCGACTATTTGGGGGCAGCCCTAGAAACAGCCAAAGGGACCTGGAAGCAGACAACAAGCTGCCTATGGGTGGAGACATCAGCTCCTGCTGCCAACTCTCAGGCTTCATAATCTAGCAGCACTCTATATTTGTTTGATTGCCCACCACAGCTGACAGCAGGTCATCCACCACTTTTGAGACAACAAGAGCTGTGATGGAGTGTGCCATTAATACACCACTCCGTGCAGTAATTTTAGCCTTATACTGTAAACGCTTACAGAATGTTTCTCTCACCTCGTTGCAAAAGAAATTTTCACTGTCGCTCATGGGTTCTCCTTTCTGAAAGGATCCTGGCTCATTTTGTTGGCGGTGGAACTGGGTCACCGGCTTCAGGTCACTGCGGCTATAGCAGAGGCGCTGTGAAGCTTCATTGCACTGCACATTGAGCGTCCTTTCTAACATTTGTGTTTTGAAGCATTGAACTTAAGTGATGCAAACAGACACTGCTGAGGAGTTTGCATAAAATGTAAATAAGTAGTAGTTTTATATTATTTAGTTTATTGATAGAACAACAGTGCACACAGTTAAGAATGCATTTTACAAACTCCTGCTGTAGTACAATATATGGCCAGTTAGAGACTGTGAATATTGAATTCCATCAGATCATTACAGATGAACTGTTTTTTACCATTTTGTGCATTAGAGTGGTAGTTTAAAATATTAAAGAAAGGTGACAACCCTAGCACTGACCAGACATTTGTTTTTTTGTGTCCCATCCATGTGGACGACATCAGCTTTGTTCATGTGTGTGGAGCAGAGAGATACACACACACACACACACACACACACACACAGATTCGAGGGGGATATGATGGGAAAGGGCTGAGTTAGAGGATGCATTTATGTATTATGTCTTTGCTCACAGGCATGCCCAAATATATTTCAATGTTATTTTTCTCTCTTTTATTTTAAAGTTGCAGACGTTTGTTTATAGGTGACTTTTAAATACAGCAATGTATATGTGTGGGAGTTGGCTAACAGCTAGTTTGCACTGGAAGTCCTAACAAAGTTTCAGTTAGACAAAGCATTGCACAGTGAAATCCAGTTAGAGCAATAAAATGTAAATGTGCCGACAAAAATGCTGAACAATTCATACTACATCATGTAAATATTAACTGTTAAGAGTTGTTGTTGTTGTTGTTGACCTCAGGGGTCCTCATAGAGCCGACTTTGCTACAATCCCGCTGCTGTCACAACCTGTCTCACATGTACTGTGTTCAGCGCCCCGTATAGGTGAGTCAAGCACTTTCTTCATTTGTTCCTTTTTTCAGTGTGTCTGTGTTTACTGTCACAGACTCAAAGGTGACGAGTAACATTCCTACTCCGACGACAAACCGCAGGTCTAAATTCGTCTCTTTGTCCTTGTGTCAGTATCCTGTCCAACAGCTCTGACGTCTTCAGCTGCCACAGAATATTGCCCTGCTGTTGTCTGAAGATATTTAATTTTAGCAAACTTCTGCGCCTGCACACACATGTGCACATACATCCTACTACCTCTGTCTTCATGAGGACCCTCCAGTGATGATGTTCATTAACCATTTACTCATCCATACTCTATCAACCTTTTCTTGCCTGTTTTTACATCTCTCACATTGTCATGACCCAACACATTTGATAATAGGATAAATCAGTGATTTATCCTATTAAAGGAAAAATTCAAAACCTTCAATACAGTATATCCTGTTGTGAGGACTTACTGCTTTTCTCAGTTTTATATGATTGGTATATCTTTGTGTTTAGACTGTTGGTTAGACAGAACAAGCAATTTGAAGAACTTTGGCTCGCTGAACCTGAGTATTATTGACTAAATGAAAATAATTATTCATAATATTAGTTTTAAGAATTTTTAACTGCAGCGCTAATTTACATTTGGTCTTAATTTTTGAGACCGTGATTAGCACTGGAAGTCTGCATTTCAAATATTTCATTTAAATAATTATTCTTCTACAACCCAATTTTCTTAAGTGGCCCCCGTGTGGTGGTCCTATTGTCCACATATAACAAACACAAAGTAATATGAGATTACAATACAGCAAAGCTAAAATGTCAAATGCAGACAACTATATTTATTTATTTTTTTAAACCATCAAGACAACTTTGGATTCATTATATTCCCTATTATCTGTGTTCTGGTTGCTGTTTTATAGTTTGCATTTCTCAGTTTTACTTATTTAGTTAATTCCCTAGGGTTAAGAAATAATTTTATTTAAACAGTCCAAGTCCAGAAATTCAACCTTATGACTTTAACTCTAATCAAAATAACCTCACATTGCAAAGTGTTCGCTCTAAAACTCAACTCTTACAACCCTCATTAATGACACTGATAAGATGTCAAGGCCCTTGTGCAGCTGTTTAATTGCCCTACATGATACTTTGCCTCATGTGGTAGTTTAGAACTGAGCTGTACTTCTGACCCACGTGTGCTTAAAATACAGCATTGCTCCCATTAACATGTTTGTGGTGGGAAAGGTCCTTCTGGAGAGGCACTATTATTATTGCCATTATTATACTTCATCAAAATCCAAAGGCCAAACTGGAGATGTTGTTTCACCCATTCAGGGACAGAGAATCGCCATGGCGTGGGCCAAAAGGAGGTTAACAAAGACAGGAAGATTAAATAATACATTCATCACATTCTGAGGGGCCGGGGGCCAAGTTCATGTCAAATCCATAACAAGCAAAGTATCCTCAGCCCAGCTCGTTTCCCCACACACACGTCACACTCTGCTGGAAATCTGCGTAGAGGATGTATTGATCTTACTGGTACTTCCTTTCTCACAAGCTCACAAACAGAGCTGCTGTATCACAGGCATCACCGCAGAACAACCGCCCCCACCTCCCAGCCCCATAAAACAAAATAATAAACTCGCCACTTGGCCAAAATATCCAACTACCTTTGTGTGTGTGCGCCCTTGTGTGCATGCAGCCTGTGCTAATGCGCTGTTATTTGCTTCCTTTCACTTCAGTAGATGAAAATATCCTGTGTGTGTGTGATAGAAGTGATATTTTACCTGCTTTCATAGATGGTAACAATCAGGTGATTTTCTTTTTTTGTCCAAACTAAATGTTAAAGTTGCATGAAGTTAAAAAATGCCTAATAATACATGTAAAGACAACATTGTATGTATGTAGAAGTGCTGGCTCATTTTTTTTTTTATTACATTTTTAGTATTCTGCTACATTTCCTGTTGAGATGTAGCATAGTGCTACTACACTACAAGCTGAGATACTCAAGTTAATTTTCTCCCAGGTGGAATTGTGTTTTGTACTTGAGTAAATATCTTATGTTCCGCTACTAATCATATCCTGTGTTATCTCCCACGTCTTTTATGCAATCCATTCATTACTCATCATCATTTCTTATGAATTCAGCAAAAAGACTATTGTCCTATATGGGTTATGTATCATGACTCAAGCTTCCAGCTTACTTCTCTGTGCCTCAGTTGACATTGTTGCACCACACCAGTGTTACAATAACTGACACACCAAGTTAAATGAACAGGAGCAGAAAAATTTTTCTTAAAAACACAAAACAAAACTATAGAAATCAGTAGAAATGCTTGAGCGACTACTTATATGTGGTTCCTCATGTATTTTGTCTCCTTGGAAGCAGTCGTGGCCTCTCAGATGATTATAATTGTCCTGAAACAGGAAATCAGCATGTTGTTTACCTCTCTTGAATATTACCTTGTTTGTCCGGCTTACAATTGCAAGCACTGATGTCGAGATTACTGCCAGAGTGATAATAACGTACGGTAGGATCATCAACACTGAAACGCAGGAAGTCAAAAAACAATGCATTGTCATGATAGGTCTACTGTAAATTCCTCAAACACTGAATGAAGATTAAACTTAGTATAATTAAAGCGAAAATCTTTATCTGAGAAACTGTATTATGCATCACCATACTTTCTCTTCCTCATCATGACTGTCATCACTGATAATGATTATGTGGTAGATGCCATGGAAGCATCACCAGGACACACCAGATTAATCACAGTTTCTCCGTCTCTCCTCTGAAATAGGTTGATAAATATGAAAACAAAAACTGACTCCTAGTGGATCTTGGGAGCCACTGCATGTGTGTACGGCCCACACAAATGATATGGTACAATGTGCACTGTAGCTGACTATGTATGCAGTGTGTGTGTATTTAATGGAGGTTAACCACATAATGACTAGTTATGACATCTATACTGTCATTTAATTAAATACTCATATGAAAATTCACTAATAACCTTTATATACGGAGCTCCTTTAAAAACAATGTTGCAGAGGGATTTACAATGGGAAAAATTAAAAAGTCTGCAGCACCATTAAATACTGTAAACATCCAGCAAGTAAAGTGAATTAAATAATAACCATAAAAAAAAACAAATAATTATTTGTCAAAATACTTAAATAAATGGTACTGTAAGTTCATGATGCATCATTCATTCTGCGCGTTTTCCCCAAAATGTAAAAATACACTCTCTCCTCATTAGTCTTTCTTCTGAGTGTGATAAACTGTGGTTTTAATGAGACACAACAGCACATAAGGAAAGAGTTTTGATCGTGTGAAACATCACTGAGCTTTGGTCATATTTCTGTTAGGTCTTGCAATGGGGATCATTTCTGATATAAGCCTGAAATGTACTCTTGATTACATTTGCAGAGAGCTCCTGAAACACGACTCTGGGAGTGACAGCAAAGAAAAGAAAGAGATTTAAAGGGTGAGTAAAACTGTTTGCTGACCGGTTGACTTCTTGCTCTCTCTGTGACACCTGACTGCAGCTCCTAAACTTTTCTACTGGAAAAAAAAAAAGTTTGCATTTCACATAAAATTCACATCCCATAGGAACATGGTTAATATTAAGTTTAAGAATGTCTAAAATACATGAGGAGTCACTGAGTTATTTAGGAATGACTTTTTTTCTGCATTCTTGAAAACAACCAAGCATATTTTGTGTGGACTCTAGTGTTTTGTTTTTTTTTAGCCAGCAGCATCTTTTTGCCAGTGTAACCAGCTTCGGCTCTGACTCAGCCTTTCCACCTCTCCTCTCAGAGCTCATCCAAATGTATTGGTAGCCGTGGGTTAGAAGCCCTCCTGCTCTGCAGGAGGTCGAGGCAGCTGTGTGTGCCCTCTGTCCTTGCTACCCACTAGTTAATTTGCCTGCCACATGGGGCGTGCAGCCAGAGGATTATGGGAAGAGAAGGTTAGGAATTTAGCTATAGGTTGTAATGCAACACACCTAGTTTTGATTCTAAACATTGACTGACAGAGCATGTTCAGAGTCTAAATGAAATGAAATACAAATCAGGCAGCTCTTAATGTGAATGTTGATGACCAAAAATCACCAGTTGCACTCCTCAGTCAGCTCTTTAGTGTGTCAAAGTTATCATCCTGAAGATTTTCATCATATCAGGCCTCATTTGTGATGCTTTTTAAGGAACATATTTATTCAGGTATAGCCATTTAATGTCTTTAGGTACTATATTAATTGCCTTTCAAAGTGGTAGTTTGCATTGTCAGTGGTGGAGCCTAGCCTTTTCACTCTGATGCACATTCGCAAAGGATTCACAGGAAAGGACACATGCACATACTGGACAAAATTCAGAAAATAAACTGCATGTTGACTGTATTGTTTTGGTGTACAACAACATAATGCAGTGAATCCTCCCAGTCCACGGTTGTCTGACTGTGACGTAAACAAATGCATTTATTTCTTATAGTCCTTGTAGTTCTGAAGAAGAATGCATAAAACAAATAAACAAGACAGTTTCTGGTTCTACTGGACTGATTTTAATCATTTTAAAAATGCTGTCATTGTAGAGGTGTGATGCTAAATGAATAGAGTTGTCTTTTAAGTATTGTTACTTTAATGTTGCTGTTTAAAAAAGCAATGCCGCTGTTCAGTAATGCTTAAAAATGTGTCATAACTATTCTAAATCACTTCAAACCACAGCCCCAAGTGGCTTGTTGTTTAAATGAAAACAGAGTAGTGAGTTATCTGCTGTCCTAATGAGCTCTAATAAAATAAAAGGCCAGGAGCCATATAGCATGGATCACCACCAACACCAACCACTACTTCTCCTGCACACACACACACACACACATACTGTATGTCCTCTACACTTCACTGCATCTGCTGCAGTGGCGTCCCATTGGCTATCCAGTTACGGCCGTCCTGGCCACTGGCTTGCTTTAATGGTGTAGCAGGGCTGTGAACAGGGAGTATCAGATGCCGTAATATGGAAATTCCTCTGTAATGCAGAGGCTGCGGGATTGTGCGATTACTTAATTCATTTAGCTGAGTAAATGTTACTGGCCTGCCAAAGCACAGAGGGGAAGGGGAGTAGCATGTGTGTGTGGGACTGGATCTCTCTTAGGGAGAGATGGCAGTGCTGAGTGTGCTAACCTATGTGTCAGCCTGCATGTGTGGTTATGGACGCATGAGCGTGTGTGTCACGGGTAGGTGGGAGTGCAAGTGGGGCCTCAGTAACAACCGGTCAGGTCTTAGGCTCTAGTTACATCCATCAAGGGAACAAACTGTTCAGAAGGAGCACCACCTTCCATCAGTACCCACATGACCTATATCCCAGACACTGATTTGTGGCTCCTGACACTTTAATTCATTGGAAAACACAAGTCTGGACCCCAGAGTTAAGTCCATTAACACTATGCAGAAGTGATGCTTTCCAGTGCAGTGCCAGCCCTGCCACCCAATGTGATCAAGCCCCACTTAGGTCACAGTTAGTGAAGATTTTCCTGGAAATTTTACACACAGACCTCTGTCAACACTATATAAGGTATTTTTAAGAAAATGTATCAACATGAAATACAGTGATACAATTTTTCCACAACACACAATAAATCATGTAATTGTTCAGGAATTTTGACTTTTACTGTGTAATTTAATATGGAAACTTCAGCAGTGGCACCGTGTATTAGATATAAAGTTAAGAGTATAAGTTTTGCTTTTCTTCCAAATGGCTGAAGATGTTATCTTACATTTAGTCAAATTTTTTTAAACACACATAAAGATGCATTTTATCAGCTGTTGTATTCCCTGAATCCATTTCCCCAAAGGCATCTCTCAAAAAATGATTTCATTGTCCTCTAATCCGTTATATGGAGCAGCGATGTCAGCTGAGCTGCAAATGACTCAAACACAGCTGGAAAATGCGGAGCCAAATTCAACTCGAGCACAATGGAAAAAGGTGGAGTCGAAAGGCTGTTTAAACTGTACTGTGTGACAGATTTGATACGCCCTGCAATGCAGAACAGAATTATTAATTTGGGAACTGCGCCTATTAAATCATTACATTATTCCAACAGGGATCCAAAGGACATTTGCCAGTGAGCCCAGCCTGTTGTTTTAACAGTTAAAAGTCAGTTTTATGCTCCGTTTTAAAGTCAGGAAATGTTGCATTACTGTTGGAAACTTTGCAGTGCCACCCCGTGGATACTTTTTAAATTCTCTGTACTGGAATTATAACTTATCATGATGTTTTAATGATGTTTTAAAAGCATCTTGCCTGTTAATCATCATCACGCCGACATCCAGTGACACTGCATCAGAGACGCCCAATCTCAGTTTTAAAGATTTAACTCCCATACACTTTGATGGGGCCTTTTTCACACCTGACCATTAGGTGAGGTCTCTCTTAGCGTTCCTCATTTCCTTATCATTTTTAATGGAGCCAGCCAGTTTCAGTGGTTCAGGCCAGGAGGTTGTGGGGTCTCACTGCAGAGCCAGCGGGAGTTGCAGGGGGCACAGAGGCCTTGGAGGTCCTGGTTTTACAGCACAGCAGTTCATAATGTACACACAAACGTCACTCCACCGCAAATGGTGTTTGTCATCTGCAGATTTATAACCCTCTCTATTAAAGCTCCTTTACAAGCATGAGATTCCTGAGCATTTAGAGAGGGAGGGGCAGCTGGGGAAGGTGTGTGCCAATGCCACTTCACCACAAGTTTGAGCCTTATAGATCCATCTGACTCCAGTCCTTTCAGTATGGAAGTAAATCTTGTATGTTTAAAAGAGAACTTTGTTTTTTTTTAACCTGCTGTATTTCCCCTAAATGTTGTTATGGTGACTATGTAGATCTAGTGTTGATTTCACTCTCACTACCTCCATTGTAGAGATTCAGGCAAAGAAGAAGTTGTGTTAAATGGCAGCCATCTCCTCCGAGAGAGCTCAGAATGAACATGAAATCATTTTCATCTGTGCCTCAGAAGGAAAGCAAATAAAAATATATAGCCATTTGGGGTAGCCATTATGGCTAACTGTAAAGGAATACAGTATACAATCAACAGTTACCAAACAAGTCTGAAAAAATGTAAAAGAGGAGTTATTTTATGAAAGCAGGAGGATGAGGTTTGATGCCTTACATAACTTTTCCAGTCAACAGATCAAAATATTGTTCCCGAAAGCTCAGAGGCTTTCCATCTGGTCTTCCCCTACTCGGGATGCGCTGTGATAACGTTTAAGAGTGGGTGACTTCGATGTGAAGAGTCTCATCACCTACACCTTTCTGCCATTAAAAAGTAAGAGAATAGCTTTCATGGGACCCTGACGTTCTGGACTTGTTGAATGTTAGGGAACTGATATCCTATATGCTGTCTTTGTGGTAGCTTGAAGCCGGTAGTATTCACATCCTCATAAAATCAACCCGGGAGCTTTCACGAGCCTGTTCACCATCCTGTCCAGTCGTTTCTCACTGGTCCTATACATCTCGTTTCGGAGGTGCAGTATGTGCTTTCGTTAGGATTTACTATTTTGCTTCTGTGTATCTTCTGTGAATCTGTTTGCTTACATAGTGATACTATCAGGAAGAGCACACATTTGTCTGCCACTCAGTGAGAAACATGTAAAAGGAGTGAAAACTGTGGTCATGAGGACAAGTTAGACATTTTTAACCTTCCTGTTATGTTCTGGGTCAAATTGACCCAGTGCAAAGTAACAAAAAAAATTTTTTAAAAATAGTTAAAAATATTTTATTGGTATGAAACTTCGTCTGCTTGGCGTAATAGGTGTGATCAACATATAACTCAGATCCTTACGCCTGTTTTTTCAGGGACTAAATTTTCACTTGCTGCCTAATACACCCCTCTTTAGCGACATAACCAGTTATTCACTTCACCTGTCAGTGGTCAGTGTTGTGGCTAATCGGTGTATATATTGTCACTCATAATCTGTATATGGACATAGGTAGTAGTCATTTACATAAATATTTGTATCTGCTTACAACTGCAGTATGATGTAATTTATTGTTTATTATGTGTTTATAATGCTTTTAACAAGGGACCTAAAGTACTGCCAAGAGTTATAAAAATTGCATAGAAGTTCTAACAAGAAAAAATAAGCTTTCAGTAAGCCTTGATTTTACCTAGTTTAAAACTGTATGGTTAATTCTAATGAAGCTAAAGAAACATGTACTCATGTTTGTAATAAATCTTTTCAGTCAGAGCAGAAGTGTGTAGTGTTATTCCTTTGTGCACAAGAGGGCACTGTGATCCCATCTAAATGAATCATCATGTGTTCAGTCACAGGCCTGTTGTTGCTTACTCTGTGCAGGAGATTAATGTAACTTGTATAAATTCACAGTGCATCACTGCAGCCTATGTGAAGTGTGAGAGAGACGGACATGAGCTGCATGCTTATGGACTAGAGAGGCATATTGAACTTATGGAGGGGATGTGTCTCCATCTCTTCCCCCTCCACTCTTTTCACTCCTTTGCACTCCTTTGTTCCCTCTGTTATTCCTTCTTCTTGAAGTCGGCCACCTGCATTATGACAAAAATGTGCATCTCTGTCCAGAGGGCAGGTGAGCCCCTGAACTTCAGCAAGGTGAACTTTTATCAAAAAGATGCAGTAACAGTTAGACTACATTTCACAAAACCTATACTGTTGTCAGAGTCGCATCACACTTCCTCGAATTCCTGCAGCATTTCAGCCTCACTCTTGTCGAGATCTGAGCCAGTGAACTGAATCATGACGTCTAAAGATAGACACTCATTTGCAGCAACAGCATGGGTCGAGCAGTGCAGGATAGAGGTGAATCAAAAGTCACGCAGAGTTAAGAAGTTCAACAGCCTGTTTTGCGGGGCGAAAGAGTTAGGCATACATATGGCTGCCTTGTCTTCCCCACCTCAACCCTCCTGATGTTTGTCAGAGTAATAAAGCTGTCCCATAACCCCATAACCTTTGTAATATTCATGATCCAAAGTTTGTGTCTCACAAGACAGCTTGATAAGTGGTAGACCCAAGTCTGTTCCCAGGCTCAACCATAACAAGTACATTGTCTACCTGGGTTACCATGGAACGAGCTAGTCCAGACTCCCAACAGCCCGAGCCGGCTTGTTAAAACACACTCCTCATTGGTTCAGCCCAGGCACTCTCAGAGAGCTCTGCTGCTCTGTTTACTGATGTCACAGGCTGGACCAAGCCCATAATAGGCAATGGCTCATCTCAACATTACGGCCTGTTTATAAAGGAGGTGAAAAATGACACTTTTATTGCCTGTTGCAGCATCCCAC